GACGATCGTGTTGGACTCGACGAACGTGTTCGAGTGGACAGGGCACTCGACGAACGTGTTCGACTCGACAGGGCACTCGACGAACGTGTTCGACTTGACAAACGCAGTCGACGATCGTGTTCGACTCGACGGTCGTGTTCGACTCGACGATCGTGTCCGACTCGACGATCATGTCCGACTCGACGATCGCGTCCGACTCGACGATCGCGTTCGACTCGACGATCGCGTTCGACTCGACCACCGTGTCCGTCTCACCGATCGTTGTCCGACTCGACGTGTTCGACTCGCATATCGTGTTCGACTCGACGAACGGAATCGACGATTGTGTTCGACTCGACAATCGTATTCGACTTGACGATTGGGTAGTGTCGTGTTCCACTCGACTATCGTGTTCGAATCGACGATCGGGCAGTGTCGTGTTCAACTCGACTACGATCTCGAATTTAATTGAATTGTCTCCTGAAGGTTTAGGACTTAAAGTAGTTTCCCCAACCTGAAATCAACGGAACCAAAGCACTGATGAGTCGGTGTACAGCGGAACCTTTGTGAGATTGTATTACAAAACGAGTTTGCGAAGAAGTGTTTCCTGTGATTTCTTGGACAGAGCCACTCTGCTGACGAGCCCGTGGGATGCAGACGCGAAGCGTCTGCTCTTCGAGCCTTTGCCAAGGTGGAGAACGTCATGTGCTAAGAAATGGAATCCTTCTCCCGTAGTGACTATGTGTTCGACTCGACGATCGGGGAGTGTTGTGTTCGTCTCGACTATCCTCTTCGACTCGACGATCGGGTAGTATCGTGTTCGACTTGACGATCGTGTTCGGGTTGACTATCGTGTTCGACTCGACGATCGGACAGTGTCGTGTTCGACTCGACGAGCGTGTTCGACTCAACTGTCGTGTTCGACTCGACAATCAGACATCAAGCACGGTCGTGTTCGTGTCGGGCACTGTCGTGTGCGACTCGACGATCAGGCAAGATCGTGTTCGACACGACGATCGGAGATGATCGTATTGGACTCGACGATCGGGCGCGATTGTGTTGGACTCGACGATGGGGCACCATCGTGTTCGACTCCACGACCGGAAGTGCCACGTGGAGTTACGTGGTTGAATCTGGGCTGCGTGGTTGTGTCCTCACCGTCTGATCCTTCAAACTCGGGGTGCTCCGCTGTGGTTGTGCGTCGTGATCTCGGGCCGTATGCTCGCTACGTCGTCGCGCTGAACACGCCTCTCGACAGCGCTGTGGTCCGCCGTCGCGTCGAGCAGGTGGTCGGCTATGCATGGACCGAATGCCTGCGCTCCGTTGCCGCGCTGTACACTAGCTTCCACTGCGCTGCGCTGTGGCACGAGCCTCCGTTGCGCTGCGTCGACGAACCTCCGCTGCGTTGCTCTACTGCTGCCTTGCCAAACTGAAACGAAAATAGGAACTGGTGGCCCTCCCTCGTATATATAGTGTTTTGGGAGGGCTCTTCGCGAGCACCTGCTGGCCGTCCGATCCGGGAATACTGACGGTCGGGATTTTCCGATGGGGAGTGGTGGGCCTTCCTCATATAAGTGGTTTTCCGGATGGGCCCTCCACGCGCGCCTGCTGGCCGTCCGATCCGGGAATACGGACGGTCCGATCCGGGAATACGGACGGTCAGGGCGATCTAATGCCTGCAGTCGGGCGCGATCGTTTTCCCCCCTTGGCCGGAGCGGAGGAGCGGGGATGACGTTCAGCTGCAGAGCAGAAATGCGATTCTCGCACATGAGTTCCCTCGACATTGTGTCATCGTTCGCGTTCTTGGAGAATCAGCGCAGCCGTCCGCCAACGTCGACACAACAACTGCCCTGCTCTCCAGGTTAGTGCCGCTTCGGCCAACACGCCCCCCCCCCCC